TTGTTATCTTTCGCTTTTCTTCGTTAATCCTACCATTTGTCCGAGAAACTCAGCAGATGTAGTCCTTCCTTTTCCTCTTGCATCTTCACAATAACCCCCATGAGGTAGGTTAGGCCAAGAGAGTGTTTGGCCCACGTCTGTCCATTGCATTTTCCTGGCACTGTGGGTATTTGAACCTGGGTTTCTCTAGTCCGGCACTGTAACCACCAGGAAGAAAAAGAAATGTTGTTGTTTATTTATACCTCGGCTTTCTCTACCTGAAGGAGTCTCAAAGTGGCTTACAATCGCCTTTCCCTTCCCCTCCCCACAACAGACATCCTGTGAGGCAGGTGGGGCTGAGAGAGCTCTGAGGGAGCTGTGGCTGGCCCAAGGTCACCCAGCTGGCTTCATGTGGAGGAGGAGTGGGGAATCAAACCTGGTTCTCCACATTGGACTCCACCACTGTTGACCACTACACCAAGCTGGCTTTTCCCCACACACCGTGGGTGTCTGGGAGGCTCCAAACTCCCTTCCCCTCCTCTCTTCCCCAGCGGACTTGAGGACTCCGTAACCTTAAGCCTGGCACTGCGAGAAAGGGCAGCGTTTATCTGAAGAAGCTGGTGATCTCCAGGCAGCCGAGCGTGACCGATGAGAGGAGTGTGCCGATGATCTATTAATGCTCTTCTTGAAACGATCCACTCGGGAGAGCGGCTGGCCGGCAGCCGTCCTTCTGTTTGCCAGAAGCCGCATGAGTTAGCAGCCCTGTACTCTTCGTATGGAACAAGCACAGTGGCTGGTGAGGAAGGGAGCGTGTTTTCAGAACTGTTGGTTTCAAATCGTTATGTGGCTCTGTGTGGTGTAAAGAGTATAATTTTAATTAGAGCACAATTTCAACAGTTTAACTTACAATTTTGACAGTTTAAACGATTATGTTGTTTCTTAACTTGTACAGTGCCCTGAGCCCACCTCGTGGAGAGGGTGGTGTAAGAATCTAAATAACAACAACAGTTTAACTTCTTCTTCTTCATATTTCAAAACTCTTGGTTTCAAATTATTGTTATTATTGTTGTTGTTTAGATTTTTATACCACCCTTTCCACGAGGTGGGCTCAGGACGGTGTAAAAAGTAAAGGTAAAGGTTCCCTTGCTCGAAAGCCAGTCTAATCCGACTCTAGGGTTGCGGTGCTCATCTCCGTTTCAAAGCCGAAGGGCCAGCGCTGTCCGAAGACGTTTCCGTGGTCATGTGGCCGGCATGACTAAACACGGAGGCGCACGGAACGCTGTTACCTTCCCACCGAGGTGGTACCTATTTATCTACTTGCAGTTTCTTGCTTTCAAACTGCTAGGTTGGCAGGAACTGGAACTAGAGTAGAGTAGGACAGTGTATAACAAGTTAAAAAGAGACAACATAATCGTTTAAATGGTTAAAATTGTAATTTAAACAGTTAAAGTTGTACTCTTATTAAAATTATACTCTTAACATCGCACAGGGCCAGCATATTAGGGCATTTTAAGAACGCCATCTCGTACTGTGTTTTATGGTTTTTCGTAGGATGTTCTGATGTTTTAAAGCTGGCCCAGTTGGTCTCTTGTGCTGCAACCTGCCCCGATCCTGCTTGCGGGGCGGGTGGGATAGAAATCCAACCCAATCAATCAGTCAATCAAAATTGTAATGTAGAAGTCGTCTAGGCGGTTCTAGTTATCTGTGCTGTGTTCT